CTCTCTCGCACGCGCATACAGTCAGACGAACACACACACACACTCACTCACTCATACACACACGTACACACATACACACACACACGCACACAGATCCACACATACACACACACACACACACACACACACACACACACACACACACATACACACACATAAACTCTCTTGACACCATCTCAGATACACACTTAGACGAACCCCCACGTCCCCAGTAAATGCACAAAAAGCAATGGTGTACTCACAAACAACTATGCTTACAAAACAACTGAATGCACAAACAAACAATTAAGTGCACACAGAAATAGTTAAACGCACATTCAAACAACACAAAACATTTAACGCACAAAACAAACAATTGAATGTACAAACAAAGTTACAATAAAATGCACTCATAAACAATTGTGCACGCACAAACATTTTACTGGAGAAACAAACAGTTGCCCATTCACAAACATGTATGCACAAACATGTATGCCCAAAAAAGCAATTGTTCACACACAAACATTGTACTGCATAAACAAACAATTGAACACACAAACAAATCAATGGAATACAAAAACAAACAAATAAGTGCATAAACAAAGCAGTTCTTTGCACAAACATATAATTAGATACACAAATAAACAGTAGTGCATGCATAAACAAACAATTAAATACACAAATAAACAGTAGTGCATCCATAAACAAACAATTAAATACACAAATAAACAGTAGTGCATCCATAAACAAACGATTAAATACACAAATAAACAGCAGTGTATGCATAAACAAACAATTAAATACACAAATAAACAGCAGTGTATGCATAAACAGACAATTAAATACACAAATAAACAGCAGTGCATGCATAAACAAACGATTAAATACACACAATAAACCGCAGTGAATGCATAATCAAACAATTAAATACACCAAAAAACTGTTTTTCATGAACAAACAAACAATCAAGTTCACAAACAAACAAATGTGCACACACTCTCAATAAGACAGACAAACAAAAACGAACAGACACGAACGTTTCCATTTAGAGAGCAGTTCAATTTTCCTCGTTCATTTGCGATCATTCATTGCATTTTTTCTGGCCCCTCATTTGATTATTTCCCTTCATCCTCAAGAACCCCTCCTCATGCCACTTCTTTTCTCTGTCCTTCATTTCGTATTTCCTTCTTTGTTTCTTTCTTTCTTTCTTTCTTTCTTTCTTTCTTTCTCTTTTTCTTTCATTCTTTATTTTAAAAAAATTATTTCTTTTTCTTAACAAGATCTGCCATTGTTCATCCAGATTTATTTTTATGGAATCCATATGGCTTCTTTCCCCGGAGAAGATAACATTATATACCGGGCCTGGCCATTTTTCACGTTGTGTTTCCACGGTTATTTTCTCTTCGTCCGAATCGTTCTGTCTCTCCAATTCATCCATCTTTGTGGGTGGTTGGCGAGTGCTCTGGTGTGATTTGCTCCTTCCTTCCTATCAAACATCTATCGTCTTTATCTGTGTGTGTGTCTTTATCCCCCCCCCCTCTTTTTTGTGTTGTTACTCCCTTGTAACACCTCTAATCTTCGGCACTTTTGTGACCTTACTGTGTTGCAAGTGCCGTAAAATTCTTACGAAAAAAACCCAAATCAACATAATATACTGGGCCTGGTCATTTTTCATGTTTTGTTTCCACGGTTGTTTTCTCTTAGTCCAAATCGTTCTGTTTCTCCAATTCATCCATCATTCCTGTCTGTCTTTTGCCCCC